TTAATCCATTAAGTTAGCGTGTGGGTGGTTGTATGTGAGTACGTACAACATGCGCGTGACCGCAGTACTCTGTGCATGAGCATCAGGCTTGGCTACATGGGCTTGTCACCCTCGTAAATGCATCCATACGTGTGTGTGTGTGAGAGAGAGAGAGAGAGAGAGAGAGAGAGAGTGTGTGCGTGTGAGAGAGAGAGAGAGTGTGTGTGTGTGAGAGAGAGAGAGAGAGAGAGCGTGCGTGCGTGTGCATATCTGTGTGTATACACGTCCACATCACGTGTTCTCTGCAGGCAACAGGCTCAGCTACAGCAGCTCGTTACTCTCATGAAGCAGGACGAGGCGTTTGCACAGCTTCCCCCACAGCAGCAGCAGACGCTCGCGTTACGAGCGCTGATGGCGCAGCAGCAGCTCATGCTACAGCCGAAGCTACCCACAAGGCATGTGTGCAGCCCTCGTCACAGACTAGCCGCGCTCACGCAGGGGTCGATGTTAAGCTGGGTTTACACTACCGACTTTATGTTTACTGAATTGACAAGTTGGACCAATTTCGCAATTCGGCAACTCCGAGTTGGACCAATTTCGCAATTCGGCAACTCCGAGTTGGCGAAAATAGAACATGTTCTAATCTCCCAAGTAGTTGCTATTGATTGTTGGTCGTGAAACTTTCGCATTTACTCTACCGATTGTCGGTTGTATAGTTGGGAAGTTGGTTCAGTTCCTCAACACAAAGTCGCTAGTGTAAAGCCAGCTTTAGATGGGGAGTGATCGGCGGAAAGCTTGTGCGGCAGTTAATGTACGGGGCAGGACATATTTTTAGGGTGAGAGAAACGTCAGAGGTTCAATTGGCAGTTTTGGGACACCGTGGCAAAGGTTTCCTTTTCAAGGATGGGTTGTCATTGCAAGTTACTTTCTATCAACACTTTATGCAAGACAGGGAGGGATATACTCACAACAGTTAATTTACGGAAAGGCACTTGTGGACAAACCTAGTAGGGCAGCCATGGAAATTCATGCCAATATGTTCGATTTCTTGGGTCCTCCGCAGTGAGTAAGGAGGGCAACCACTGCACTAGCAGTCATTACCGCGATGAAATTCGAGCTCCGTTAGCTGTCACCTCACAGTGTTTACACGTCAGCGACGCGTCCCCGTGACCTCGTGATGTCATCTCACGTCGCTCGGGTTGCTTGCAGCTCGCCACCGCTGCACATAGCTACCTCGGTGGACCCGTCCGCGGCTGGTCTCGCAGCAGTGGCGCCATCTGCCGTCAAACCCGTGCCGGCGGCGGTGTGGGGCGGCGGCGGCGGGCAACACACGATGCGGTGGCCGGCGGCGCGGGTCGAACCGAAGAGCGTGTGGGACCTGGACGCGCCGACGTCGACGCAGCTAGAGGAGATGCACCGAGCGGAGCAGGCCGCTAAGGTGAGTGTGAGATCGCTATGTAGTATCTCTGCTCACTGCCGTATGTCGGGTAGTCGGATCTACTCTCGTAATGCCGATGACATGACACAGCGTGGAAAATCTTTGGTTGTGATTTCTCTTAGCGACATCTTATTCTTAATTAGACATTTTTCTTGAGCGGTTCAGATAAAACATGTATCGCAGCTATTCGCTTTCGGAATTGATTTCTCTCCCGAGCGAAGTTAAATACATCCAAGAAGACTTGATGGTACTGGCGACTACGTGTGATGTTTCTGACAACGCGCACCCTATTCGTTTCTCTGCAGGAGAAGCAGCAGAGAGAGCAGGAGGAGGCGTTGCGTGCACTGCAGGTGCGAGAGGCCGAGGAGACGAGGAGACGGGAGGCGTTGCTGCGGCAGCAGATGGAGTTGCAGAAGAAGCAGCAGGAGGAGAGGAAACGACAGGAGGAAGAGGCGAAACGCAAGCAGGAGGAGCAGGAGAGACAGGTGCATGAGCGACAGGTGAGAGACAGACTTGCAAGTGGCAGGTACTGGTGTGCACGCTAACGCGGACGCAATTGTCGTAAAACCGAAGAATGTAGCGTCGTCATTTGCCATTTTATATTTTATGACACATTGCAAATAGTAATTTTTATGCTCGAGTCATTAGTTTGTTTTGCCAGTTATTGGTTACCGCTGTTGTCCCAGGTCAATAATAGAGAAATAGTGGCAGTTATGACTGTCATCAGTATGAAACATTAACATCGTTATCCATTTTTCCCGTCTAGGATGAGTTGCAGCAGCAGCAGCAGCAGCAGCAGCAGCAGGAAGAGTTACGGAGACGCGATGAGCAACGTAAGCAGCAAGAGCAACAGCGGATACAGGAGGAGAAGAAAAGGCAGGCGGAAAGGAGACGCCTTGCTGAGCAGCAGCGAAGGATGGATGAGGAAGAGGCGGAGAAGAGGAGGCAGGAGGAGCAGCAACGGCAGGAGCAGGAGGAGAGGAGACTGGAAGCGGAGGAGGTGGAGCGACAACGGCAGCAGGAGATTGTAAGTTATCAAATGTCGCTCTCACTGTCTGTCTACCATTGACAATTGTGTGTGTGTTCGTGCGTGCGTGCGTGCATGTGTGTGTGCGTGTGTGTACATTCGTGTATTAGCGGATGCTTACCTCGGAGCGATAACCTGTCTATAACGGACATTTGGTGTTGCTTGAGTGACAGTTGTACGGTGAAACCACAATAGTAGAACTGAAGAATGAACCTAGAAGATAAAACTTTTGACATTACTCTTCAGTGAGCCTTATGTATTGGTTTGACTGCATACATGGTTTCCATTCAACGTCAGTCAAGGAAAACTCGGTTAATTATGGAATCTTATTTGAGTGGTAATTTTAACATACGTATACAGGGCTTGCCCTTAACTTTTATTTCAGGTGGCCGGCCGGGCCACTTGAGTATGAGATTCAGGTGGCCAAATGGATTTTCAGGTGGCCCGGTTGCTACATTTATTAAATAATTTATTTGTATCCTAACTATAGGTAATGTGTTTTGGCAAATAAT